GGCGCTTCGCGCTTGGTGATGTGAGGGCCTGGTCCGGTGAGAACCCGGCGTGCTCCGTCCCGGCTTTGTAGGGATGCGAGGTCAATGGTCTAACGACTGCGGCATGCACGACTATGAGTACACCCCCCCCCCTCCCCAATGCCGTGACCCTCCAAGTATCTCTTAGCGGAACCCCCACCAACCTCGCTCGTTGGAACGATCTCACCTCCTCGAAAACCTGGACACCCCCCCACCCCACCCCCCCCCCCTGACCCCTCAGATGTTCCTCAGTGGAACCCCCATCAACCTCGCTCGCTGGAACGACTCCCTCAACGCCCCACCGGGTGTTGAAGAAGAGAGGGAAGGCATGCGGGGGCTCGGGGCCAACCCTTGCGACTACGGCGACGGGGCCGACGGCGGCGGGGACACCGGGTGCGCGCAGCCCCTGGACGTGCCGGCCTTCGTGGACTTCGTTAAGTCGGACCACCTCCCGCACTCGGTGATCGTGGACTGTTCTACGGCGGACGGGGCCACGAGCGACCACGCTTCCTGGCTGTCGCTGGGGTTGCACGTGGTGAGTGGGTACTGCTACGCTACGCACGAGATGGCCATGTGTGGGTGTTTGTTCATGGGCATGTTTGCGCCTTTGAAACGCTCGCTGCCGATAGGTGGTTGTTCAGTTCTTTGTCCTTTCGATGTTGTGTGCTGCTGCGGGGATGGTTTGCTCTTTCACGCCGCCTGGCTGTTACACGAGATGGAGATGTGGGAATTTTTTTTGCGAAGGCCTTTGCGAAGCGGTTGCTGCTTGGTAGTGCTTTCACGATTTACACTATCACGCCACCTGGCCGTCGGGGGGGGGGGGGCGAACCTTACGCAAGATGACATGTATATTTTTATTCACGTGCCATTGTCTCGCGAAAACTACTTATGTACCTGCTGTTTGGTGCTCGTTTGCTCAAACATGTTCATGTTGTTCGTCTCAGCCGCCTCGAAATGGGGTGTTTGCGTTTTTTTTTTCGCTGTCGTAGAGAGGGGTTGTAGTCCGATTTCCGGGTTCACAACTGTTACATTTATGTCTGATTTCCGATTTCACAACTGTTAATTTAGTCCGATTTCCGATTTCATGGCAGCAGAAAAGTGTGGTCCTATTTCCGGTTTCACAACTGATGAACTTTATCCGATATCCGATTTTCACAACCGCTCTTGTACCCGGCATCACTTTTCCTGCTGCTGGTTCTCGGCAGGTGAGCAGCAACAAACTAGCGAGCGGAGGAGCCCTCGGCAGCTACCATGAGCTGCTGCAGGCTCGAGGTAGGGCGTTGCGGACGGAACGGTCACTTTCGGCGACTCTCGTGACACCTCCCGTCTGACCGTGTCCTTGTTGTCGGTCTTCCTTCCGGTCTCTGCTCAGTACCACCTCCTATTATCCGTACCGTGGTTACAGGTCAACTACCCCCTAAGACGGAGGGGGCGTTTCTAGGAATCAAACGAAATAACAAAGGTTTCCCGGTTCTATGAATCTCTACGGCGGATGGAAAGGGGGGCTTCACCAGCCACAGCATGTGATGCCACCGTGCGTCATATCCCACAAACAAAATACGGTCACAGACGTACTGATCGTTTTCAGAGACCGGAACCAGGTCTCGAACCCACCCAACTGCTTCTCGTTTTGTTTCATTGCATGGACATTGCCTAACCTCCAACCACCAGCTAATAGTGGACAGTCCCTGAGCGGACCCACGAACACGCTGATTAGTCCGCGGGGTCCCCCGACTAGGTCCCAACAAGTTCTCCCACCGCAGTTATATGTCCATCGCAGACCTGACCGTCCACCCGTCTCCCACCCTTCCCTCCGCCGTCCTCGTCCGCAGACACCAGTCCCGCAAGCTACCACTACGAGACCACGGTTGGTGGGGCTTTGCCCGTCGTCTCCACTCTACAGGTAAGGATACTGCACGCATACACTTGTACTTTGGTTGTGTTTCGATTGCGACATTTACGGCAAATACGTACGTAAGCGACGAGAGCGTAAAGGCAGGTCAGCGTGTTACGTGATCAGTGATCGGAGGCCTTTGAGTAGGAGGGGCGGCATGTACGGCAATACGTACGTGAACTACAGATCGCGTTACGCAAGTCAGCGTGTCATGCGACTGAAGATTGGAGCCTTCCGAGTAGGAGAGGCGACATGTCGCCAATACCGACGTAAGCAACAACAAAAAATTACCACGAAGTAAGCTTATCATGTGATCGATGACCAGGGCTTTTTTAGAAGGAGAGGCGACGCCGCCGTGTGGGTAGGCAGAACGGAACTGCCGGTCGGGATGAGGTATCCGCTCTCTTTGCGAGCAAACGACGACCCGGTCGACATTTCCTCGAGGTCCGGACTCATCTCAAACTCGTGGCGCTTTGTCTCATGCTTCTGACGAGATCCCAGACAGCGACAACCAAGCGGGCCTCCGTGAAATGCTTCGGGTTTTGGAATAAGTGGGTCCCTTTTGTCTCCGCCCGCCGCCGTTGCTGCGCCAGAACCTGCGGAGCGCCGGGGACGAGGTGCTGCGGATAGAGGGCGTCCTCAGCGCCTTCCTGTCGTACGTCTTCAACAGGATCTCTCCTGGCCCTGACTGCAGCAGCAGCAGCGGCGGCGGCGGCAGCGGCAAGCAGCAGGAAGAGCCCGTGGCGTTTTCGAAGGCGTGCTGGGAGGCCGCCGAGCAGGGTGAGAGGGACTGAGCTTCGCTCTTCCATCTGTTTCGCACTTATTATTGTCCTATTGACCTACCTAGCCTTGCTCTTCCACCTGTTTGTTATGGTTCTTCTACTCTTGGGTTCTTGCTCCTTCCATGCTTGCTTCCTTGGTCCCACCCCTGAAACCTTTGCGCTGATGACTGTGAACCCTCTCCCCGAGCTTGGTGTCGTCACCCCTCTCTTTTCGAGTTCAAAGGAAATCGACTACAATTGTGAAACGTCGTTTGTTTCGCCGCACGGTTGAACTCGGCCCTTCCACGTTTTCTCGCTCAAACGCCCGACGTTCGCTGAACCGGTTATAGCGGTTGTTGGCGTGCTTGCCTGCTTTTCTTTTTGTGGTTCTGACGGCCGTGTTTTTTTGCATTTCCTCCGTGTGGGGGGGGGTGACATTTTGATCTCCGTCACCTTTGTCAGGGCTCATGGATCTAGGAGACGTGGTGAAGGATCTGGGCTGCGAAGATCAGCGGTAAGATTTTCCCTATCAATTCCATTCTTGATTGCATGCGGATATTCTCCAGACCGTCGTTCCGCTCAAATCCTGACGAAACTGCCCTCCGTTGCGCCGCCTGCCATCTTTGCACATTTTTTGGTTAGTTTGACATTTCCGGAACACTTCATCTTCTGTGCTTGGTTTGTGGCCCGCTTCAGCACGGCCGTAAGAGGGAAAATATGTCGGACCCTAGGAGCAGGAGCGAAGCTTTTGTTTCAAGGCCCCGTTGTATTTTCGTATCGTGTTCTCGGAAGCGACGTTTGTTCCATCCGGAAACCTGTGCGTCCTGGATTGTGCGATGTTGCTCTGTTTTTCGACCCTCTGAAGTTGCAAATGAATCGCGCTACCTTGGTGGGTAGCCAAGTGACAGCAGGAGGCAGGCATGAGGAAATCGGTTGAGAGGTCGCAGCCAAGACCATCTGCCTTGAGACTGGATGATTACGGGGTTTCCCACGGTGTTGCAGCATACTGCAGTTACGGTTTGCCGTTCTCTCCCTCAGTCCCTCTCGCTGCCCGTGTTATCCCTTACACTTACACATCTGGACCAAACATCGCCACGCAGACGGGTGCTGCTCATCTTGGGTCGGGAAATGGGTCTCGAGCTGGAGGAAAGCGACGTCAAACTTGAACCGGTACTGGATGTGAGTGATAACAGCAATGCCAAACACGGCTTTGGCGAAGCTGATTCCACGGATCATGCCGAGTGGGGTATATTCGTGCTGTTGTGGAGGGGCGCTACATGCGAAGCGGGGATGTTGTATGCTCGTCTTCAGGCTTGAGATCACTCCGACCGAAGTAGACAGCACCTCTACAGTCTTGGGGAGCGTGTTGCCTACGGGTCAGCTTCAACAGATTATTTTCTGTTCGACAACAAGAATCGCGAAACTCGCTTACCAGTTGGTAGGGCGCAACAACAAAGGCACCGGCCTACATCTCACCACTACTATATCCGGGAACGTTTCGTCTCCAAGCTCAATGTCGTTTTGGTGCTATTGTGGCCACCGCTTTTTTCTTATTTCAGGTTTCCAACGAAGTAGGCGGAGGCGAAACGGTCGCGAGGGTGTCTGCCTTGGACGCGGAGATGAAGCGGAGAGTGGAAGCCGCGAGCGGGGCAGGGAAGGTGCTTCGGTACATCATCAAGGTTGAGTGCAACGGTGCTAACGGCAGAGAGGAGGCGACGGCCGGTATCCGAGAAGTGGAGATGAGTCATCCTTACGCCGGCCTCAAAGGAGCCGCCTTCTGTGTCATGTACCAGACTAAGGTACAGTTCCCTCGTCCGAAGCTTGTTTGGGAGTTCTTGCGCAAGCGTCTTCGTGGTTATCACAACCCGCTTCCCCCTTCTATCCACAGCAGCATCGCTGTTTTTGATTGTGGTAGACGTGTCTGCTTTGATTGGAAAGATGGTCCCGGGTCGTGGGACTACTACTTGCGTAGCCCGCCACCCTTTGGAACTATCAAATGCATGACCTACAGTAGTAACCTATTCATGCTGCCCCTATGCGGCTTAACGTTCGAAGCTTGCTTGCGTTCCATATTGTGTTGACAATAGCTGTGTTGGTAGAGAAAAACCCTTGATCACCTCTGATCCCGGTGTGTCTTCTGCCGTATGGTCCCAAATTTTCCTCTTCCGTACCGTACCGTATTCCACCCAGACGTTAGAGCAGTGCGATTACATGCGCTAGCCCAAATGCTATCGTGGACCCTCGGGTGTCCGGAATAGTATACGGCGAGGCAATAGTCATGACGCACGTTTTTAGAACGATCACAGTGTTTTATACTTCCAAGTGTTTCATCTACTGTAGGGCGGGTGCGCACTGTGTAGGGCGAGTGGTTTGGCCTGGATCTATACACAAGAGGGCCCACGACGACTGCTGTACCAAGAATACGAAACAGCGACACCGCGATATGAACTGCGTCACATTCTATTAGCCCTCGACCCACTCCTAATATGTTGCGTTCGCGCCGAAAAACCCGCGTGACTAAATGCCCTGCCGCCGCAGCGCATGGGAGAATCGACACCGATGATCCTGCAGGGACCCATGGGGGGGCCCGAGACGGTTGCAAGCGGGCTGCTTGCCGACCTGCTCCGCGTGTGTACCTCCCTGGGAGCGAGGGATCGCGGACACGGCCACCTCATGAAAAGCGCGAGTTCCGTTGGCCTGGCCGGCGCGTCTCGTAGCTGACATGACCCGGGTGCAAATCACCTGCGGAAGAACGTCCGAATGTTGCTGCTAGGGGATGGCAATGGTTCTTCCCCCCGGGTTTCATGCCAGCGCTGTGCAGTAGCTTATCTGGGTGTGGCACGGCAAGTGCACCCGGCGGAGAAGAAGATGTTCCTTTTTGTGGTGCTCGACATGTTGTGTGTCCCGCCCCCGGCTACGACACGGTAACCATGCTGGTGTTACTTCGGTGGCACCATGATGTACAAAGCGACGCCACACCGATGTGCGGATGCCGAGTCGACCTCTCGCTGTCTCTCTCTCTTCTTCATGCCGTATACGCCTTGTTCTTGAGGGGCGTAAGCCCTGTCTTGTTTCTCGCAAGAGTCGACTTTGGCCGTGGCTTGGAGTGGAGCCGTCTTGTCTTGGGTTCGGCGTGGCTTGTACTTTTCCGCTAGCGTGCCTGTCTACCCCTGCAATGATGCTTGGTATCTCATGTGGAATCGTTTGGGTACTTGTTTGATTGTTTGTGTACTCCGGTTTCACCGGTGGCTCACCCGTACCCTACCCCCCTTTGCATTGATGTGGCTGTGTGTTTTGGGTGGGTATATGCAGACGTTGGCCATGTGTCACCCGGAGTCCAGTCTAACGGTACAAATAGCCTCGACCACGGTGGAACAAGCGCGGTCTTATTCGTTACGCCTCGACAGCAGCTAGCTGGACCTAACTCCGATATGGAGACGCCATAGCCGTTACGATCGTCTTGGGAGGACGCTGCTTGTTTCGAGGGTGACATGAACCCCTCGTTTCGTTTGTTTTCAAACGGCCTTCGTAGATTGCTTCCGGTTTCCACATTGCATCAAGAGAGAGAGAATGAGAGAGAGAGAGAGAGAGAGAGAGAGAGAGAGAGAGAGAGAGAGAGAGGAATCGTGATTGAGATGTGGGCGTTTCTCGCCATACGCTGCTATGCCCACGAGACCGAGCGGGTATCAACAACACGCATCGCCTACAGTATTGGTCTATTGTACTCTCACAAAGAAAATTGTGCCAAGGAGAGCACCTGCCAAGGAGAGCATCAAGTCAACAGGCTAAGCATATGAGGCACAGATTGTACGCGCGAAAACTGTTACTCATCCATTGGTAATAGTGTCGTTGCTCGTGTTGTTGTTGCCGGTTGATGCTGTCGTTATCGTCTTTCTTGACAGTCGTCGCCGTCGACAAAATATGGTACGTGTACCCTTTTCTGGCAGATGCAGGGCCGACCTCCTCAAACAGGGGACGCAGAGCGGCGTGGTGTGACGGCATGTGTTTTCCTTGATCCTACGCGCCTCGCCATCGTGCGTTGTGGACGGAGAGGCGGGCGCCTATGTAGCTGACTGCACGACAGAGCGTGGCGGAGATTCTTGCAGCAGTGTCTCAGCCAAATGGTCGATCGAGCGGACGTGAAAAAACGCGATGTATCGGCGTCCTGGTTTCCTCACCTTTTGTTCTCAGTCAATATTCCCTACGCTCTTCACCGCATTGAATGAGAGGGTACAGACCGATCACAGTTTACCGCAAATCGGATAAAACCGTTCGCCGTGGCTGCATCTACCATTTCGAGAGACTTTTTCTACGTAATACTCCTCATAGACATGAAAAAGCACATACGTCATGTGCAAGTTATTTCCTCAAAAGTTCTTCCATGAAACAAACGTGCGGTACGCGATGGAGCCGACACCGAGTACCCCTTGAACACCCGTCATCACGGCCGAGTGCTTCAGTCGAAACGTGTCCCACCTGAAACTTAGTCCTAGGTGGTGTCGTGTTGGGTCGTTGTCGAAAAAAACAAAAATCACGAAACCGTCAGGTACCCCCCCGTCACTCTCACGGGCGCCGTTTGCGGACCCCCTACTGTACGTCAGCCCCCACCGTCATCAGGAGAGCGGAACATCAAAGAGGGTAGCAGAGACCGGAGCATCGCGACCTTGGAGAAAAGGCTCGGAATCGGCACGGGACAGCCGGATAGCTTCCACTTTGTCAGTGTTCTCCACTTTCGCCCGAAAGCGGAGAGCCTCCTTTGGTCGCGAGAGGATAGAACAAGCACGAGACATTCGGTTTTTGCGGAGCATCTCCAAAACTTCAACTCATAGGTGAAAAGGTGAGAGGTGACAACGAGAGGGGCGGTGCGTGTTTCATGGGGCTGAGGATCTTGCGTACTGCAGGCAAGGGTAGACTCTAGACGCTGATCTTCTTTCATGGAGGTACAACCCCTCGCGCTGTCTTTGTTTTGGGCGGGATATCAACCTCCGAACTTGCCTTGCTTGAGAGGTGATCCTCTCTCTGACTCTGTTCAACGTTCAACCAACATACAGCATTTACTGCAGAGATAAATCCCGCCGATACAGAGCGGACACCCTCTCTGCGTGTTCAGCCGGGGCGTTGTACCTTTGGGGAAGAGGGTAGTGTAGTGTGCGAGGTGCCGCCCCACCGTAAAAGCGCACTTACAGCTGCTTCTTCATGTCTAATATTTTGGGTATGCTTCCTCCTTTCTGTTGCCGTCCAAGATATCTCCAAATTCGAGTTGATGATGCACTGCAGTCTCAGCGAATCCGGCGGGTTTGAGCGAACGTGCAAGTAGGCATCCACCTGTGTGCGCTGCAAGGACCCCTCGTTCCACGGTGGCGATGAATTCTAGGTTTGTTGAAAGCCAACCTGTTGCTGTCGATGATGTGGCTTTTACGGCACTGTAGACTAGTCTACGCTGCGTATCGCCCTTCCTTGTGCTAATCAGCACATATCTTACTGGACAGATCCAACCCAGCCCATCCGACCGCCGGACAGTTTAAACAGCGGCGCTGGAGCTCTTCTTTTGAGCCTACAGGCGTACTGACTGATCATTAGTTGATCATTTGTAAATGCTGGTGTGGTGGCTAGCCGTGGATTTCCCGCCCTCTGTAGCCCTCCACGCCAGGCGTTGCGAGGTCCATAGGTGTGTCTCTAATTTTGGCCTTGACCGCGCTAACCGGCTTACCACGGAGAAGGGGTCAGTCCCAGTGGGCAAAACCTACTGTAGGTTGGTATCGGGAAGCAGGCCAAAATATGCGCAATGCGCAAAATGCGAATGCCTAAATTGATCTTTACATATTATTTGACAGAGACACATCACATTACCACGCATACCCTCGCCCGAACCTAGGCAGCCACTGATCCAAAGAGCGGAGGGCTGCAACAGGGGTATTTCAAGCCCAGCCGAAGCCATGATACCGTGGTATAGCTGCATCAATCTTTTTTACAATCGTATAAACATTCCAAAGATCCAGCAGTCATCGTGTCAGCTGCTGCACTACACAACGACAGCAGTGCAGACGAGTCAAATAAAATAGCATTGACGACATGCCGCGTACACACAAAGGTTCACACATCGCCCGAACCTAGGAAGGTGCTATATCGCTATTCGGTGCCGGTCCGCGTGCAGCCTCTTTCGTTGTACCTGATGTATTTTTCAGCGTTTGCACTATTGTTGTCAATGCCATGAGGTACTGAAGGCGAGCTTCGACCAATCGGAGGTGGTCTAAGACGGTAAATCATGTCACACGGAAGAGACATGTGCACAGCGGCGTACGAAACTGAACTGGATATGGGCAGATGAAAGCGGTGAACAATATGTTCATGGATGGAAAGCAGTGATTCGCCTTTAACTACAGGGTGGCACATCGTACCCAAGAATGCGTTAGTGCTTCCAGGCACTCTCACTGACGCCAATGGTCTAGAACCTACGTGGGTAAGGATCAGTAGCGGTTTCAAGGTGAAGGCGACGACCACGACAAAGAACTTGTAAACGAGTTCCTTTTCTCCACAAGAATGCAAAGCAACCTGCGTTGAACGGCAGAAGACTGCATAACGATCTTCACGAATCAAGCTGAAACTTGCTGAGGGCGTGTAAAGTTAGGCAGGAGGGCCGACGGGGTGATTTCTCGGGCCTCGCCATGCGCCATACGCAGGGTGTGTGTTATCTTGTGTACTGTGTCGGTGACCGGCCTTGTCAAGCACTATACACGAGGATGCAGCAGGTCCATCCGGCACCAAATTGCTCCGATCTCGATGTGAAAACCAAGGTCACTACCGGTGTTTCCATAGGTAAACAGGCAGAACCCCTGCGGTTCTCCCTCCGAATGCAATGGTCGTTACTCACACTGACTGGTAACATGGTGTCAGATTTCTCTGATGACGGCTGTTCGTGGGAGCGTACCTTGATCTCTTCTCTCACGGCATTGGAGGCCACATTAGGCAGATCCAACCGGACAGGTAAGCTCTTCTCGTTGAACACCAGTTTGTACATGCAGACTTGGGTACATGAATGAAGCTTAGAAGGAAAAGGATGGGATGCTCATATGTTGCCCCAGCTGCGGTTCCCGTGGCCTCCGAGGAAGTCGTCAAATGCGTGACAATAACGTACCCAAGTCTGCATGAACAAACTCGTGTTAACCCCTTGACCCGGTCCGTTTCGGCGTCATTTGTTTTTTCACCGAAGAAAAAAAGAGACAGAAGTTAAGTGCAGAAAAGAGACAAGTGCAGAAAAGAGACAAAGTATGCTTGTGTGGGCGAACAGCTATCTCCACGTATAGGCCATGCGGGCAGCCCGCGACAGGGTGGTGGCCACAGACAGAGTCATGGAAGGGTTGATGGGTGGTCCCGCTGCGGGCGGTAGGGCGGGTAGCCTTTATATATGTATACCTTGAAATGATGAAATGATCAGTCGTCTAGCTGCCTCAACTACTCTATTTTCTGTATTTTCTAGTGATGAGTGAAAATGATCAGTGAGGCTGAGTCTTACGGCGTGATTATTTCCGGATTGGATTTTGGGGGGGGGTCCTTTTCTGAGCCAAAAAAATAATTTGGGCGTTTTACAGGTAGGAAAATGGCAAGTTCCAACAGCCCAAAATCCAACAACGCAGTTTCCAACAGCGATTCCGGCCGGCATGTTAGAAAATTGGCCCATTTTCCAACAGCGATCCTGTTGGAATATCGCTGTTAGAAATGGGGGGGGGTACCCCCTGGTCACACCCCGATCGTGCCAGAACGAGGAACTACACCGTCTGCTGGCCAAACAGAGGCCAGTATCATGAGTTCATGCACAAACCCTCCGCAGGTATCTAAAATTCAGGGCGTTCTGCGTCGTGTTGGCCGCACACGAGCCGAAAACGTCAACCCTGCCACATTGCTCTGCTGACGTTCCTGCCTTTGGGCCGAAAAGAGCTGTTTTTGCGCCTGCTGCATGTGTGACGCATGCCAGAGAGAGGTCTTAAGCCGTCGACATCCACAAACTGCAGCCAATGGCGTGTGTTCATAATCATACCCTCTGCTCGCGTACCAGAAACAGAGCGTGTTGTCCAGTTTTGATTGCACACGGCCTGCACACGTGAACCAAACTGTGTTGCGGTGTTGACTTTTTGGTCTTTTTTCTTGTTACGCCGCGTGTTTGCTCCGTGTGTCACCCGCGACCAGTCAAAAACGTATGCCAAAGAGAGGCCTTTGGCCGACGACATCCACAAACAGCAGCCAGTGGCGTGTGGTCATACACATACCCTCTGCTCGCGTCCCAGAAACAGAGCGTATTGTCCAGTTTTGATTGGACACGGCCTGCAAACGTAAATCGAGGTGTGGTTCGGTGTTGCGTTTTTTGGACGTTGCTTTTTTTTTTCTGCCGCTTGCTCCGAGTCGAGTGTGATCAGTGTACAACGCATGCCATCAGAGAGAGGCCTTTGGCCGACGACATCCACAAACTGCAGCCACTGGCGTGCGATGATACACATGCCCTCTGCAGGCGACCCATAACAGGGCGTTCGGTGTCTTGTTGGTCGCACACGAGCCAAAACCGTGTACTGAAGCAAGCATGTTGTGACTCACAAGAACATCAATCAGCCTCTTTTTTCTCTTCAGAAAAAAGTACACCTCGAGGAACCGTAAGACGGTCGTTTGGATCTTGATATTTTTTTCCGTGCAGGCCACCCCCCTCCAACCGAGAGAAAAAACAAAACTCCGAAATAATCACGCCGTAAGACTCAGCCTGAGAGGGCTTGTAGGCCCATAGCTGATAAATTTGTACTTCTCTGTTCTTCTCTGTCCCCCCCTCATGAGAGCCCTGCCGGCTCACTAGAGCTCCTGTTTTTTCCTACAATCACACAAGCACACCAGCACACCTACGTGACACACATACGCACCGCGCCTTTTCCGATATCCTTATCTGGTGTATGGACCGCCGCCCCCTCCCGCGGGATCAAGGACTGATGCCACAAGTGCGCCTCAAAACCCAGCGGTAGAGTCTCCAGTCTCCAGTCGGAATACAGCAGGAAGTCTCCCTCAATGGGTGTATCGTATACATACGTCACGTTCGCATGCTTGCACTGTCTTTCTTGCACGCTTGCGCACATACGCGTCTCTAGAATAGCGTCGCGGACGCATGTTTTTCTTGACGCGTTCCCGTAGCACAAAGCTTGTACAAAGAGAAATGATAGTTTCTGCGGGTCGCGTAAGATACCACACCCGTGGTATCTTATGCTGTGCAGATGTATGAACCCCAAGTCTTTGTTCTACGTTGCCGCCTGTATGGCGACTGGGGATTGTCGACTCCACCATTAGGTTTCGAGGTGCTCTTGTGGCCTCAGTGCTTGGACCGGCGAGAGACGGCTGTTTGGGGGTACCCAGCACTCGATACTGATCAACGGGGATCTAGGGGGCTTCGTGTATCATTGTGGTATGTGTTTGTAGAGGGGCGATCCCCCATCGGCGTGCATGGGCTAGCATGCCTGGCACACTCGTTATTGATACAAGGTCCTGAGTCTCTACGCTTCTGACAACAAGCTGCCCGCCTCCGAACGGGGGCGGCTGTCCATACACAAGACAGAGTATCGGAAAGGGGTTCAGTGCATACGAGTGTACCGCTACAATATTCGGTGCCGGTCTGCATGAAGCCTCTTTCGTTAGCTGTGGAAATTGGGTTCAATGATAGTGCTGTCTCCGAACCGCCAAGTCTACCGTGAATGCGCGGAAGCAACTTATGGTGTAGCGCCGGTGGCAGCAGTAGTAGCAGCCCCCCCCCCCCCAACGGGGTACGTAGGTACTGTAAGGTGTTTTATGTCCACCTTCACCGCTCTCCGCACGAGGGCTTCAATGCGCCCCGCCCCCCTCTTGTTGACGATATATCGCTCCGCGTACACACAGAGAAGCTCTGTTTGGCGAATCTCCAACTTCTCCGACATGGCCCCTCCGCAGCGGCCGGGATCGGGATGGCTTCAAAACGCCAACGGTAGCAAGAACCAACCGACCCTGGCACCGACGCCAGACCAGTCTGAGGTGACAAGGACTGCCCCTCTTCCTGAAGAACTCATCGCGCGAACTGAAGGTGGGCCTGTCTGTGTGTTTATTCAAGAACGGTACTGTGGTGGGCTCGGCTTTGTGATCCAGGAGGGAATGTGTTGATCGCTCGTGAGGGGAGGTCGGTATTGGGGGTGTAACGGCTGTTTGTGAGGGTGAAGTGGTACCACGCGGTTTTTGTCGTCGCCATACAGGGGCATGTCGCTAACCCAGGACCACCGCTGCTGTACCATCAAGAGCGGGATGACCGATGGGAGCATGCAAGTCTTCCCGGGAAAAGAGCCACAAAAGCGCGTTGTAGCCTTCGACCATGGAGACGCGGAGGAGGTTTTTTGGGTGTATGCAGCGCTATCGTCGGTGTGTCCGTCGGTGTACACTTGTGTGGTGTGGTTCTTGTTTATCATGGTCGGTTTAGGACAGAGCCAGTTAGCCCCGGGGTCACCTGACAAACGAATCCGGCGAAGCTTCTTTCCCCCAGTCGATCCCTAGGACAAGGGCCGACAACAAAATCGCGATTCCCGTCGGAAGATGTCAAGCGAGGGTGCGGTAAAGAGCATGGCAACAGTTGACCTCCCGCCTTTCAATTTGACCGTGTTACGTTGGTTGTTGCAACAGGGGCAAGAGAGAGACCTCGAATGAGTATGTCAGTGGACCGCGAGACCCCGAAACGCAAGCATGCCTCTGTCGATATGCATACAACGAACGCGAATATTTACCCGAAATACGACGGTTTCGCCGTTGCTCCGTCCTTGAGAATTGGCGCGGTACTCGCGTCAAACCTGTTCGGCTCCACCAGAACCAAAGACGTTCGCCGGTCCATCAGCTAGCTGTCTGTCGTGCCACACCCAGAGACGTTTGTGACGACGATGCAACTAACGCAGGAGTCTCGAAGGAGGAGGAGGAGGCGAGGAGAGTGGAGCGAGCCAAGAAGGCCGCGGAGGAGAGCAAGAAGCGGGAGAGGGAGGAGGAGGAGATGTGCGCCATCTGTTGCGACAAGCTCCCGAACCTCGAGAGGGGCGTCCTCTCATGCGTAAGTTTGCGCCACTTTTCGTAGTTTTTTTTTCTTTCTTTCTTGCACTGTCTGTTGATTCGAGTATTGTACTGCCTTTTGTATACGTGAGTGTTTGCCACTCTTCCTGATGGTTATTGGCTTTTAGTCTCTGGCACTGGTCGAGCTATTGGTTGGACCTGTTTTTTTATTTCCTCTTTTTTATCTGGATGACAATTTTGTGTTCGTTCTGTCTCCTCGATTATCTCTGCCCGTCGACACTACAGCATTAGCAGCGGGCTGCTCCGTTGTGCACGGTGTTTTAGCGACGCGACTTCTTGGGATTGGAAAACGGTTTTATGCGCCGTGGCCACAAGCCACTCCGATCCCGACATTTATCACGCACTGTTCCCGTTGCCCACCAGATTGTCCCCGTCTGTGACAATTTTCATTCGCTCACTATTTTGTGTTCATTGTTCTTCTGCTTGTTGCACATTCAGGACTGAACGTACTGCTTGACACCAACCACTCGTGACACGATGAACTCTTCATCTCTCCCGCCTCTCCGTGTGTCCCATTCTTGTCCAGGGACATGTGTTCTGCTTCGCGTGCATCCACCAGTGGACCAAGAACTCCAGCATCTGCCCCGGCTGCCGCGTTCAGATCAAGAGGATCACGAAGACCCTGTCGCCAGCCGACGAGGCTAAGGCTAAGGGGGAGACTCGAAAACCGGTGAGCCTTGTGGTCACTCGCGAGCGGGGTTAGGGGGGCGCTCTTTTCCCGCTCGAGTGACCATGTCGACTTTGATGTTTGCGCGGTTTCTAGGACGGTTGTTCTTGGTCCTTCGCATGTCGGGTGCTCGCGAAGCGCGACACCTGTAGGTATTACCAAGAACCATCTCGTAACTCGTAGTCTCCGCCTCTTTCGTCTGGGAGAGCTGCCCCCACCTTGGTTGGTTGAGCGCAAGAGAAAAGTAACGCGTATACCAGCAGCTTCGCGGAAATGAACCCAGATGCATTCCGCCACAGCTGCCAGACGGCATCCTTACATTGGCTAGTTTTCGTATCAGTGCGACACAGACGAGGAAGGCTAGAAGTCGTCGAGGCCGGAATCTTGTTTAGAGCCTTGGTTGGGTGCACGGTTGGAGTCTTTTCCCGCGTCTCAGCCCATGAGGAGCCTTGAAAATGATTAGATCATGCAGGCTTTTTCACAACGAGGGGAAAAACACAGGCGGTTAGGTCGTATCAACGTGCTGCGTAAACCCAAACCTCCACAACGGAACCTCTCAGAAGTAGGGATTCCGACGCATCCAACCCCCAGGCGCAACCTGTCGACTGTGGTCACAGCGCAGTTGTACGGAATTTCGAAGCGTTGGAGGCTCAGATGCACGCATCATCCACCGGCATCTGCCAGCGATTGTCAAAACAAACACCTCACTTTCTGAAGCTTGGCAGAGTCTTCATTTTGCTTTGCTATGTACCATCGCAGAGACTCTCTATTTCAGCTCCACAGAGAGTTTCTCATGGAGCCTTGGGTCTTTGTTCAGATTCGCAGGGAGTGTTGGATGAAGTTTCGCAGGGAGTCTTGGATGAACTTTCGCAGGGAGTCTAGGATGAAGCTTCGCAGGGAGTCTAGGGTGAAGCTTCGCAGAGAGCTTGTACGAAGCTCCGCCGAGAGTTCCGTCATGAAGCCTCACGGGGAGTTTCATGATGAAGCTTTGCAGAGAGTTTCATGATGAAGCTTCGCAGATTCATCGAGATTTTTGATGCACTGGACGGCTGCGGTCGTTGTTGTGCGCTGCCATCGGTGGGCCCGTTATTATAGGAGCTAGCCCTTGTCGCGCAAGTGAAGCTCAAACGAGCGTCACCAAACCTTGTGATTTTTTTCACCATCTTCCCTGTACGTGCCAATGATACCTGACGGACGTATACACAAAGTTTTTTGCGACGTGTTTTTGACAAAGTTGGATAAACTGAAGAAATTGGGTCGTTTGTACCTCAAACACGTGTACCCGAAATAATTTGTTTGATACTATGATCAAGTCATTGGTTGAAACAGGATGCGGGAAACCTCACTGCAGAAAAGACCAAAACCTCCTGCCGGGTTTAGTAGTAAGAGAAATATCACACACGTGTCTTTGGATGATTGCGAAGCGATGGGCGGTGGTACCTTAGTTTAGTTTCTGCTTTTCTTGGTCGACATGCGGGGTCCTATTGTTTCTGCATATGCACCTCCTAGGACCCAGAATATCCGCCAAGAAAAGCAGCTACAAAGGAAGTTGACACCGCCCCCACCGCCCATCGTTTCGCATTCAGCAATTACCCAAAGTACATGCATGCAAAGTTTCAGGGTTAACTAGCAATTCAACGCGGCCTGAGTTCTGCGTGTCGAATATACTAGCGTTCATTTCCGTGAGTCATTCTGCAGATATTATTACCAACAACCGCCTATCCTCGTTTCGTCTCGGAAACACGTTTGCCTTGGAATATCAAGCGTGAGTTGTTGTCGTTGTTGTTGTTGTTGTTGGTTGTTGCCATTCCTTTGTGTCAAGGACAATGCGACACGGGTGTTTTGTTTTTCTCACGCCAGCGTCCGGTGTCAACGACAAATGGCAGTCTAAATGGTCTGATATCTTGATGTGCTCCTGCAGGTTGTATCGCAGCGGGGCATGAAGAAGAAACCCAGGAAGCAGCTGAAAAGGGCTAGGCATCGAGATTCCAGGGCCAAGAATCCGGTACGTCATTCTGTTTACCACACCATCTAACTTCTGTGAATGGTTGTTGGTACTGTCGTTGTTGACATCCTCGTTGTCGTTGTTGTGGGTGGTTTTGGTATTGGTGAAAAAAGCGTACTTGATGTTGTAGTTGTGACGCTGGTGGAGGTGGAGTTGACGTTGGGTCTTTCGGTTTGTGAAGCGTGCACCTCACCTGCAGGCTTCACCACGCCACCGCCATGCCTTGGCTCCCCAACCTTTGGCCGATTTTTCGTGGGATGAGATAATGATTCCGTCGTGATATGTCATCGGTTGACCATGTGCACGACAAGGAACTTGAAGAAACGAGAACACCCTTGATTGTGACTCTGTCTTCTCTGTGGTTTGGCGGTTAGGAAATGCGACGTCGCAATTCGTTGTCTACACGGGTAAGTGTTGGGGCCCCGAGCAAGAAAAACATCAAAGTGGTGTACATAGTTTTACTACTGTTGAGCGTGCGTTGTAGCAAGGCTTTGCGTTCGAGCGTGTCCTTCCCCTATAGGTGAAAGCCATCAAGTTGCCGTCGTCGTTCCGAAGCCCTTCCATGCTAGAAATCACCCCGTCCACTGCTGTTACCTCCATCCTCAGCATGAGTCCATGCCGCCGAGTCAACCACGAAGCGTCTTCCGCTCCCGCTGCCGACATTGTCACGAAGCCCTGCCGTGTTCGAATCACCGCCTCCACCGCCTCCACTTCTTACGGTCATCTGTACCCCCTCTCCTGCGAAACCAGGCCTCCGGCTTCGTCACGAAGACCGTCCGTGTCCGCCCCAAGAGTCTCAAGATGACACCAGCACAGCAGCGCGCGGCCCCGCACCCCCAGGTACACAAACAGACCCTTCTCGGATAATAGGTTCGCTTGGATCGATGTGGAGGGGGTGACGGCGAGCAAGGCATTCGAACTACAACGTGGAGATCGGTGCCCAAACGGCTCGAACTCAATCGGAGCGAGACGCTTGGAACCGGACGTAGGTGAAACGTTTAGTTTACGACGTGGACCTCGAGAATGTTTTCGCAAGAAAATCACGTTTTCGCAAGAAGCACACCAAGTCGAAGAGATTGGTTGGTGGACGAGAGGGCTCGGTGTGTCCTTCTCCCGTGTCTCGCAATGCGTACTACCTTCACCAACGTTTAAAGCGTTTCCTTGCATTGAGAACCATGAAGACACCCATAGCAGTAGCTCACGAGCGGTACCGTAAAACAAACCCTGCGATGTCCCCCTACCGATTAGGCCCGCGGGGGGTGGATGTACGTGCAAGAACAGCAGCGGCGGTTGCAGCAGCAGCAGCAGCAGCAGCAGCAGCAGGCGCGAGTGATCCAGCCGGCCCTAGCGAGGGGAGCACTGTCGGAGTCCATGACCCAAGCTGGCGCCGCGGACCTGTCCCCGCAGGTGAGCTAGACAATTCGGATCCAAACCCTGATCTCCGTGGGGTGGGGGCAGATTGCTCCTCGATCGCTCAGTCTCAATAGTATGTGGCTTCATTATTTGCTTCTAATAGTCGGTAAACGGTTTCAGACCATCACGTCGATGTCATTTTGTCGTTGACACCGGAAGTGAGTGCGGCGTCAGATAAAGAATCCACGTCGCGGTGTTCTCGAAATGAAGGAACAGCAACAATCGATGGCAACAAGAACAACGATGATGCTGAAGATAACAACATCAGCATCAGCGGTAGCGTCAGCGTGCCCATCCAATAACAGCGTTACCTTACCTACGATTCCGACAGCGCGCGTAATTACTGCTGATGAGAAATGAAGCCAAATGGCCTGTACAGCAATCTTTTTCAAGGGTGAACGAAAACGAGATGTGCTCGTAACTTGTTGGTTTCAAAAATACGTACATGTTTCCTTTCTTTCAAAGAATGAACGTTTTTCGTCGGAAACGCCGCCAGTACTACGGCCACGAGTTCCGTACGGCCCCAGGCGTACCCAAGTTTGCCGCTGCCCTCAGAGCATGCACTTCCTACCCGGGTAGGAACGGACTTGACTCAGAATCCCCCGCGCCCCAATCGTGGTCTCGATGGTACCCCGACAAGCTCCCTCCCATCTTGGCGCGAGCGTCAATAGTGTCATGGCGGTTACGTGTGTCGTGACATATAACTATGTGAGTGTCCTGTCCTCCTCCCCCCCTCCCCCAATCACCAACAACACCAACCACACAC